TAGGGACTTTAAGATCCAACGACGCGACGGTAACGAGAACGTCGCTTAAAAAGTGAATTTACGTTCTTTCAGTCTTTATCGCAATTATTCCTACCCACTTACTTTGTCGAATGTAGGCGAACCCTCCTGGAGCTGAATTCCTAGGCACCATATCCAAGTACAGTAAGAGAAATAAAATTTCGTGGTTGCTTGTTTACGTCCTTGGTAAAACGCGAAATTAGGTATGTTCACGTCGTAGTCGTGCAAAAACGGGCGGAGAAATGTACAAAAAAGCATGGTGCACGTGCAAAGTTGTTGTTTTGCTAATCAAAGCTATTGGGTTTTTTTACGTTCTCGTTACCGTCCGCGTCGTTGGATCTTAAAGTCCCTAATATCCCTCTAAAGGAGAGCTTGCTCGCAAGCTAGCAATCTTGTGAAAAAAAAAAAAAATTATAACCTCGCTAAGCGCTGCAACGTTTCCTGCGATATCTTCAAACGCAACATTTACCGCTGACCAACAGTATGATGGGCGACGTCTCCTTCGCAGTGGTAAATTGTGAGAGTGAAATTTGATTGGCTCTTTTTGCCCGATCAATAGATTTGCTCGATAAGTACTCTACAGATAAGAAAGCAAATAATTAAACATTCTTAGTGTGAGGAAACGTTTTATTTATCACCTCTCTCAAGAAAGGATACCCTCTCTTGTCGCCCTGCAGTATGAAATAGACTTGGCCTTCTAATAAGAGTTACTGTAGGAGGTAAACTGTACAAAAAGGCCCCAGTTGTTGAAAAGGTGGATAACACCATCCACTGGATAAATCTCTATCTACTGAATACACAGTTGGTCTCCCTGGTACTTACCCACTGGATAGTGATTTATCAGTGGGATAGCGCTATCCGAGGTTTGAACAATTGGGGCCTAAACATATAATCCTCCTGAGTGTATTTTTTTAAAGAACGAACGATATAACACTGATGCACTAAAAACGCAGACCCTCGTTTTCAAACGTCTCCACCATCCAGAATGTTTTTCCTCTAACCTCCCGCAACCTTTGATAGTTTCAGTGCCGACAAAAGACCAAAACGCGCACAATATGCACGTTGTCAAACCAAAAACGCATTACTCTAGACAGTGTCTACGAAACAAAAATGTCTGACTTTCGTTTTGTTCATTCTCTGATTCAGGTCACCACTCAACAGCAACCATCACATTGGAACAACAGGATGATCGCACCCAGTTGACGTTAACCCAGACTGGAATTCCAGAAGAGGATTTTGAGCGAACAAAACAGGGCTGGAAACAGTATTACTGGGAAAATATGAAACAAACATTTTGGTGGGGCATGAAATATTTCTGACTAGAATTTCTGTATGATTTGGCGTTGTTTTACTTTGAACACGTGGTTGTTACCTAACATAACGATATTCATAATCTTTCTTTAGAGTACCTCAATTGCCTTTTCGTACAGAGAGAATCAAAATGAACGAGTCAGCCGAGTATTCTTTTCAATGTTTGTTTGTATTTTTTGTTGATTGTTCCGTGCTGGTCTTAAAGTGTTCAAAGTTAAATCTTGTCTGTTTATTGAGTAAATAAAATAATTTTTTAGCCTTATTTCTGCCATGTTTATTAGTTTTTCAGAAGTATCGAAAAATGAACACCTTGATGGTTGTATAACATCTATCTGGTAATCTCATTTAATATAAAAGTGTAGAGAAAAACATTTATTATCAATTTTGACCATCTTCAGCATTTCAATAAACTGCTTCTTGCCAGATTTTAGAACGAAATGAAGGATCATGAAGTTATTAGGATACCCCCGGGAAGGAACAGCAACAACAATTTATTAATATTTTCATAATAACTTACTGTAAAGCAAAACTGCATCCGCTATAAATTCCCAACCCAGAAATTGTAAGGGAATGAGTACAAGCTTTCGGCACAATGATTTCTAGGATTGTTCAGGAGGACAAGCGAATACTTATGATTGGTTGACAGAGACGTAACGTCACATTTTGAAGGTGTACGCACACGAGAAGATACTTCAAATCGAGGGTGGCAAAGTCCTCCCTTCAAATCGGGCTTCAAATATGGCGGAAATTTTTTAACCCGTGACTGCAGATCATTCACCAGTTCACAGCACCCTCAACAATTTTTAATTCCGATCGTCTTGATACTGTAGCGCTGGGAACATCGACATGCTGTCAACTTGTAAGATTTTTTTGTGCCTTCAAGAAGGAAAGGTTTGTTACACAGTCGATAATGAAGTGTCCGCATTAGCGAGGCAAACTCCGGGGGGTCGGACTCCGCATATGAAAGGGGTGGGTANTAAAGTGTTCAAAGTTAAATCTTGTCTGTTTATTGAGTAAATAAAATAATTTTTTAGCCTTATTTCTGCCATGTTTATTAGTTTTTCAGAAGTATCGAAAAATGAACACCTTGATGGTTGTATAACATCTATCTGGTAATCTCATTTAATATAAAAGTGTAGAGAAAAACATTTATTATCAATTTTGACCATCTTCAGCATTTCAATAAACTGCTTCTTGCCAGATTTTAGAACGAAATGAAGGATCATGAAGTTATTAGGATACCCCCGGGAAGGAACAGCAACAACAATTTATTAATATTTTCATAATAACTTACTGTAAAGCAAAACTGCATCCGCTATAAATTCCCAACCCAGAAATTGTAAGGGAATGAGTACAAGCTTTCGGCACAATGATTTCTAGGATTGTTCAGGAGGACAAGCGAATACTTATGATTGGTTGACAGAGACGTAACGTCACATTTTGAAGGTGTACGCACACGAGAAGATACTTCAAATCGAGGGTGGCAAAGTCCTCCCTTCAAATCGGGCTTCAAATATGGCGGAAATTTTTTAACCCGTGACTGCAGATCATTCACCAGTTCACAGCACCCTCAACAATTTTTAATTCCGATCGTCTTGATACTGTAGCGCTGGGAACATCGACATGCTGTCAACTTGTAAGATTTTTTTGTGCCTTCAAGAAGGAAAGGTTTGTTACACAGTCGATAATGAAGTGTCCGCATTAGCGAGGCAAACTCCGGGGGGTCGGACTCCGCATATGAAAGGGGTGGGTACGCTCGTCGTCTCTCTTAGGGGTGTAAATTTCGGATTTTGGTCTCACTTAGGGTGTTCTGGTCAAAACGCCATCATATTTAGCCGTGACGGCTCTCGTTTAGGGTTGCAAGCGAAAAAAAAAAAAATATTGTCTGTGTTTCACATGGTCTCTTTTAGGGGTCAAAAAAAAGCTTGGGCCACGCCCAGATCGATCGGTCTCCTTTAGGGGTTTAATTCAAAATTTCCGACGAGCATTCCCATCCCTTTCATATGTGAAGTCCCTCCCCCCCCACCCCCCGTGGGTTAACTTTCTATGAGAATCTGTTCATCGAGCCGCGAAAACATGTGTGCGTTGTCCGCATTAACGCAAAAATACGGGCTTGAGTGTTTTTCAGTTTGATCCGTTTTCCCCTAGAACGTTTCTGTGATGTAATAGTCGAAGTAAAAGGTAAAGAGTTCAAAGCTCATAAAGCTGTTCTAGCTGCAGTGAGCCCGTTCTTTCTTACACTTCTGGAAAGTAACATGAGAGAGAGCAACCAACACTTGATCAAGATAGAACTTGAAGAAGCAACTGCGTCCATCATAGAAGATGTACTAAAGTACGTTTACACTGGAAATGTTTCAGTCACTGAAGAAAGTGCTCACAATCTGGTTGCAACCGCGGATTATCTCCTTTTACCTGGCTTAAAAACGTTAGCTTGTGATTTCTTTAAAGAAATTTTGGCAACTGAAAACTGTGTTTTTAACTATTACTTTGCTGAAAAGTATCGATGTGTAAGTCTAAAGGAAAAATGCCTGGAGCTTATCATGTCAAATTTTAGTGCTGTTATGGAAACAGATGATTTCCTTAATCTTGATGCAAAGCAAATCATGGAATGGGTGTCCAGTGATGACATCATCATCAAAACAGAGGAAGATGTTTTTAAAGGAATCGTGAAGTGGGTTCATCATAACAAAATTGAAAGGGAAAAAGAATTTTCTGTTTTGTTGCATCAAGTCCGCCTTAATTCTCTCCAGCAAGATTATCTGGTCAATGAAATGGTGAAAGAGGAGCTCATAACAACTAACAATGAGTGTTTAAACTTTGTTTTGGGATCCTTGAAGTGGATTTTTAACCCCAGAGTTGAAAGTAGTATCAGACCCAGAACATGTCTGCAAACACAGATGAACGGTATTTTTGTTTGTGGTGGAAGGAAAGCCCTGAGTTACTTTCCCAACAAAAACATTTGGTATCAGTTACCAAACATGTTCATGGAACATCAGAATCATGCTGCCATACAGTACCAAGATAAAGTTTACACTTTTAGTAAACAAGACGGTGCAGATTATTACATCCCTTCAACCAACACTTGGGGTGCAATTAAATCAGACCCTCCACTTTTCGCTGAGAAATTTTGCAGCTCATTTATACTGAAAGAGAGAAAGACTTTGTATGCTGTATTACAGATCTTCACATATAATTGTTGCATTTGTTATTTTGATCCTTCCAAGAGTGAATGGAGATATTTTGTTAGACATGAAAAGCTTCAGTGCTGGGGAGCCTGTGGTGTGACCGATGGGCAACACCTCTATGTAATAGGTGGAACTAAAAACAACATTCGTAAAGTCGTTGGATCAACCAAAGTATTAAGGGTTGATCCTGAAGATAATGAATGTAAAGAGGTTGCATCTATGAATGAGGCAAGGCATAATGCGTTTGGAACGGCCATGAATGGCAAAATCTATATAGCAGGTGGAATGCAAACCGATGAAGAAATTTGCAGAGTTCTTGTAAATGACACATGTGAGATGTATGACC